GGATTCCCTGAAACAGGTTGGACACGCGAAAAGAGTACACGCGACCAGAGACTGTGCCAACCTGCCCGGCCCTACCTACTTACAATTAAATACATTCACACCAGAAAGTATGCTATCTATCCTAACCAGTCGCCCTATATTTAAAAAAAATGGCAAAACAGGCACACCAACACACTCGCTCCACGCTTCTCACACATACTACTCGGGCGCAGACCTAAACTAGAGAGGACGTCCCGGGACACCTCCGACACACCCGAGTTTAGCATACAACATTCACACTCTAATTTACGTACATTTCTCCTGAAATCGACTGACGAAGGCTAGCGACCACCATTGCGTGAAATATCATGAAAATATCTAAATATGTATTTCTATTTGAATAGGATATATTTCAATGTCAATTTTAATTAAATATGATCGTATTGTATAAATATTCATAATATTTGAAATAAATTATTACATGTATATTGTTTGAAATAATAGAACCGACGCAATTCCACATCCTAATCACATACACACATGCGAAAAATGCGTCGTGCACGATACACTAACGCGTCGTCAGTCGCTGAGAAATTATTAAACTTATAAGCTATAGTCGTCATACCCATTGCCTTTCTCCCACCCAAGTAACACCTGGGCACGTGAATGAGGTCCTGGCAATGGACATGGAAAGGGTTAAATCTAAAAAAATCCTGAGCTAAAAAGAGGATTAATATATTTATTTCATGTCAATTCTATAACGGATTAAAGAAATCATATTCTCTCGTTTTACTTCAATAACTCTACTTTATAATTTACTTTAAAGATTTAATAAATTACTGAAACGCTACATTTGAGTAAAAGAAATCAGCAATAAATATATTTATTGAAAAAGAAAGAAGAATTCAATGTAAATAATAATATCATGTTGAATATTCTAACAATAAGTGAAACATTAATGGTGAACATCCTCAGGTGATTTCTTTATCAAAACTCATTTTTGGAAACAAAAGAACATTTAAAACTAGCTTTGATTCGGAAATCTACCTGTCGCGAAGTGTCTTCTTGCACATAAAATTTGATACATTTC